ACAAAACAAGATGTTCGCAGCATGCTGCCCTTTTAATCAGGGGTTGTCAATTTCTAAATAGCTCCTTAAAAGTAGACGAGATTAGATGCTGTGTTTTGCTTGAGAAAACAGTGAGAAAGATTAACATACACTACATTTTGAGACACGGTATCAAATGCATCAACTTAATTATAGGTATACCTCCTGCTGAATATCAAGATTTAAATAGATGTCCTATGGAGATGTTGCAGAGTCTATGGCTGGTAGAGAATGTGTGTGCGTGTGTGTGTACCTTACTTTCACTGTGACTTTCAGATGTGACAGTGTGCTAAGTGGAAGAAAATGAAGGTTTGGCTGTAAGTGGCAGTCTGCTTGCTCTTCTCTTTAGCAAGCAGTAAAACAGATGGCAACTCAGGATAAATCAGCACCCAGCTGGGGTGTGTGTGTATAGATGGATAGATGGATAGATAGAATTAAATAAAATAAAGATTAGAATTTTATTTTATTGCATTACATTGCATTGTAAGTGGTATAATGCACAGTCAGCCAGTATCATCAGAAGTAATTTTCAATAATGACTGTATTTTTCATATCTTCACGTGTTTTTGTCAGTTGTGTATTTCCTCCACTACATTCCCGTTTAGAACAGAATAAAAGTGCACAAGCGTCACTTTAATTTAAGCAGTTTGATTCCATTCACTTCCCAATTATTTTGCACATTTCAGTTTCACCAGTCACCCCTTCTCTCTCCTTTTCTAAGAAACCATTTAAGTTCCCCTGTAGTCAAACATTTTATCCCTTAAAACTCATCTTTGATCACCAAAATGACATATATTTAAATGTTTTTCCTTGAAAATAAAATTCTTCATGCCTTAAAATAGCTTAAATGTAACTACACCCTTGCCTCAATTAGTATACGCGTTTTTTATGAATATGCATATCCCCGCCTCCACTCACTCGCACCAGCTCAGGGATCCACTTGTTGACGATCACACATTGACCTGATTGGTTACAAGGTAGTTTGTGATGTCATTTTTGAGACTGTCTTTGGTTCACCGCAGTTTTAAGGAGAAAATACTCGGCAGTGGTTGAATTATGAATTTGCACATGGTTTGTCTTAAAGCATATTAAAACACCACATAGACATATAAACAACATTAAAATCTTGATTTTCACCACAGAGGGACTTTAAATATTTTGATCTCAGAAATGCTTGCATTAATACAGTGGTTCTCAAATTGTTTTACAATGGACGTCAAGGGGTGACCATGAATTGCATATTATAGTGAACTGCACAGTCCTCCCAGTATGCAGAATTACTTGACATAGGCTGAATAGGAAAATTACCATTTTGTAAATGCATAACCATGTGTAGAAGTGTGATTTACTGAACACACACTGGGACAAAAATTGCAGTAGTATTAGCCATATTGCCTAGTGAACAAAATAATACAATGGAGTTTGATTAGATGCACAACTGAAGGTGTTTCTCCTATTTTTTGTTTGCTATCCAACTGTGTATGTGTATATATATGGTTAGTTGCATAATTTTCAGTTTCCCTGATGTCCACGTACCAGACCAAACCTGTTAAAGTGCTGTTTTAAAGGTTCCTAATTTTGTTTTGGAGGTCTTCTATAGCTTTAGGTGCATCTGATGTCAAAAACACTTTAATTTTCTCATATTATACATTGAGCAGTACCTCTTTTCTCACAGTCGCTGAAATGGTTTGATAATTCAGTCTCTCTAAGCCCTTCCTTTCTGAGAGCCTACTCTGCTCTGATTGGTCAGATGGCCCAGTCTGTTGTGATTGGTTTACTCTGCTCTGATTGGTCGGATGACCCAGTCTGTTGTAATTAGTCTACGCTTACAGTGTGTGTTGGAAACATCTGATTCATAGTGATAAGAACATTTACTGTGGTGTCAATTTTATGCTAATATCCGAATATGGTAATATATGGAAAGGTAACATCCGGAAAAGCATAATGGGGCGCTTTAATAAACCAGAGATTCAGAGGAGATACTGACCTCATCATTTCCTCTCAGTGAACCCTCTGTGTATTTATTTTTTTGCATAGTCTGCCACCGTAATTGCAAGATTTTTGTGATTAATGGATGTACACAGCTGTGTTTGTAAGGTCAAACTGAGAAGAGATCAGTTGTTCTTCATAGAGAGGGGGGAAAAGAGCAGAGAGAACCAACACAACAAATCAAAAGCAGATTTTCGTTGTTGCCTGTCAGGTTAAAATTGTTACGCTAAAGTTTTGCCTCATGAGGTTCCACTAACATTTGACAACCCAATGCGTTTTGTCTTTATTTTGAACTACATATATATTTGATCATTTGGAGCCAATCTTTTTGTGAAATGCCTGAAGTGTGCTTGTGCTTCCTTTTAAAATAAATACCACTCAGTTTGATCATTTTATCTAATGCAGTGACATTCATGTCGTTCGTTATTTTTTTATTTTACTTTTTAGAACCACTCTAAACACTGCTTATGTTAAATAAAAAATGTTTGTGAATACGACCTTGGTATCTCCATTGAAAATAGGGCTTGTTTCAGATGCTGCGGATGTCTCTTTGTGAGTGCCCGTCTCAATGGAAAGCTTTCATGATGTTTCGATCCAAACAGTGAAAAAGAGCCACTCCCCCCTCAGCCAGCCCAGGGTTCAGGACCACGGAGAGCTCCTCTCGGCTCAGTCTGTCTCCAGGCAACCATTGCAAAGTCCAATGAGCGGATGCAGATGAATGAGAAATTTCCCTTGTGTCCACAGCTATGACCCTTTTGTGACTACCATCAATCAGCATAAAAATGAAAAATAGATGTCACTCTGCTGCATCCCTTTCCTTTATTGGACAGATACCCTTGCACAGGTGACGCATGCATCTGAAGCAAGCAAACAGACGCTTTATTAAATGGAAAACGGAACCTGATTTCTCCTAAAAGCATGATGCTTATGCTGCTGTTTGGAGTGAGTTTGGCTAGACCGTGTATGAGTCACTCCGTGAGCCGATGTGCTTGAGCATTTACACCAGATCAGCATATATAACAGGATTTCTGCAAGATAATGCTTTCTGAAAAGGCTTCATGTTTTCTGTCATATTTTATCCTCTCGTTTTGATGCTATAACACCAGTCGCAATCGCGACAGGCTTTGTAAACATTGCAACAAATATATCCTTGTTTATATTCAATTAACTTGTTAATGTATTTTGCTGCTATCATTCTAAAAGTGTGGTTTCGAATGTGACTGGAATCTTTAAAACAGCTTACTACATTTCTAAAGTGTAGATCGGATACATACTGTGCAGTATACATTAAGCAGTATGCGTGTTTTTTATTTTAACATTGCCATTGTGTTTTTTAATTTTTTTATTAGAAATGTATTTATAAAAACAAATATGGTAACACTTAAAGGAGCTGTATGTAAGAAATTTATTTCAATTAATCATGAAATGGCCCTGATATGTCACTAGACATTAAGAAATCATGTTCATTTCAAATACTTATATCACTGACAACAGTAGTCCGGCCAGGATATTGTCATTTAAAAAGTGAAGTTGCAGCCCTCAACTGATGTTGATGTTGTCATGTTGTGTTTTGGTCTGATGCTCCACCCTCCACCTATCTACCAATCACGAAGTCAGTAGTGTTGCGGGATCCGGGTTGCCAGCTGTGCTCTAGTTACCACTTCTTGGAGCAGACTACGTTCCTGCTGGATCCTGCAGCCTATCTGGCAACCTCAAATCAGGGAGGAGGGGGAGGGGATACACCGCTCTAGAGTAATTTGAAAGTGATTGCAGTACCAGTTTTGGCCACAATCTTACATACAGCTCCTTTAAGGTCTCATTTATTAACAGTATCAAAGATTAATAAATGCTGCAGAAGTATGGTTTGTTTTTAGGTTGTTAACTGTATGTAATGTAAATAACAAATGTTAACAAGTGAAACATTATTGTAAAAGTGTTACCAAAAATATTTATAATATTTAAACACATGCTTGTTTTTCATATTATTGTTGGTATTTATTTTATTTGATCAAAAATGTTTAAGGAACAGGAACTCTGCCTGCATAATCCTCGCAGCTGAAAGTACTACCACTATCAGTGTGAGATTTCAGAGCTACAGTACAATATGTGAATGTAACCATATTGCATTCATCTTAAAGTTTCCCCCCTGAATCCTCGTGTATTGCAGCGGTGGTGTGTGTTTGTGTTTGAGTGCTGAGTAATGAGGGTCAGATGGTGGAGATAATTCTCACAGATGTTCTGTGCTTTATGTGCTATCGTTCAAGGATGATGGTTTGATAAGAAATGCTTTAATGTACATATAGATGCACCGATGTCAAGTGCTTCATCATTCCTTCTCTTCTTATTCATCCCTTCTCTCTTTTTTACTGCAGCAGGGAAATTAAATTCTTTTAGAGAAAAATGTATGAATGTCATTGCATTCGTTAACAGAATACCAAACCATGTTGCATTTATTTTAGAGATAGAAGAAAGCCGAAGCATACTTTTCTAGCAGAATTTTTTTAATTATGTAAAGCAATATAGTGTGAATGAACCATTGCTCCTATCAGCCATTTGCATGAAATGCCTATTCACAAAATGTTCTGTTTGCCTGCTATATGTGAATTGTATTTCTAATGGACTGCATTTCTCATAGAAATCTCATATAGGTATATTGCACAAAAGTTTTAGAGATTATATATTGGGGAAAACAAAGTTTTGCTGTGTTTTTAGAATACAGGATATATATGTCCTGAACTGATTTATTATTATTATTATTATTATTATTATTATTACAATTACTGGGTAATAACTTACTAACCCTGAACCTAACCTTAACCCATGGATTAACCTTATATTAACCAGCACTTTTTAGGTACGTAGGCCTACTGTAAAATAAAGTAAAATGCATGTTTTTCTTAACAATTATAACTCTGGCGTGAATGGGCCTTAAGTGTGCAAAGAGAACTCATTTCTACAAGTGTTTGACTTTGAATTCTTCTGTGTTTCTGCAGATATTAATATGGCCGGAGAGCCCAAACCCTACAGGCCTAAAGCGGGATCCAAACGCCCCCTAACTGCTGTCTACAGGTGGGTGTTTCCTATAATATAGGGCAACATATGACTATACTTGTATATGTTTTATACAAAACTCATTCTGACTGTGTGAATGTTACTTCAGATAACATACTGCCGTGTAAATGAAATCCCTTCGCCGTTCTTGCATGCGCCCTTGTTAGGAGAGCTGAGGTAGAACGGATTAAAGTCTGCTTGGTGTTGCTGAATGAAATCGTCAGCACATTTGTCATATTATCAGGTTTAGATAACAGAACAACCCGCGGTCTTATCAGCACATTCGTTCGATTGCTGAAGTTGCAGTTGTGTCTCGCAGGTTCAGTTAGCTTGTTGAACTCCTATAGGAAGCGAAAAGCTCCAGACACATCAGTGAAAACTAACCAAGCAGGGAATGAGTGAAAAATCAATGCTTGAAAAGGTATTAGGCATTTACTCCTTTATTGGCAAGCTTTTATGGGGATTCAGAGCATTTTATTGCAAACAATAAACACTAACTAAATAGTGACTGGACCATGAAACAATTACTGAATTAACAATGTTTCTGTTTGCAGCCATAAATGTAATGAGTGTTTTTTTTTATTTTATTTTTTTTATTTGCACTTAGCAAAGAATAATAGAATCCTAGTAATGAAACATTCATTATTTTAAGATTTTTTGGCAATTCAGTTACTTATGTGCCATAAGAGTGTCCTTTCAAGGACTGTAGCTTATTTTGGTTCTCTTTTGTTACATTTTATTTTACATTAGCTGTTTCAGGGTTTTTAATTCTTTATTTCTTGCTCTCATTGTGTTTTTGAAATTCGTTAAGTCTTGATTTGAATTTCAAATTGACTAACGCAACCCATCCATTATTTAATCGGAGGTATAGGCTTAATTAGGAGAATACGACAGGAGCAAACCAACAAAGAATAGCTTTGAATGTTAATTAGTTTGGAATGAAATGGTCAAAAGAACGGAGAGATGCCAATAATGGAATATAATGAGGTTGTGTTTTGGAAATGGTCCCAAAATCATCCTTACTCCACTTTATACAGTTGAGTGGATACTCATAATATGCATGACATGTATTTAAATGCTCAATTCCATTAAGTTTGACCTTGTTTACTTCCTTAATAGTCCTGATGTTTTGTGCACAATTAATCATTAGCATTAGTTTCCATCCAGATATTTTTATGCGCATTTTTGGGATATTGCATTAAAAACCCCGCTGAATGGAACCGCAAAGATGCACTTAAGTTCTAAAAATGTGCATTGAAAAAACGTATGTGTTCAATTGAGGTGGATAAGAAGACACATAAACTACGATTTACCAAATAAATCCATTGATTAGCAATTGATCAATCTCAACAGTGGATATGATTGGATAACATCAGAATGATTTGGTTTAACTTGACAGCTGCACAGACCCAAAAAAAAAAAAAAAAAATTTTTTTTTTTTGTGCTTCTTTCCGGAGGTATTTAATTTTATGCATTTGGCAGAGACTTTTTGCCAAAGGAATGTACACTGCGTTGAAGGCATATCAGTTCAAGAACGTTAATTACGCTGGGAATCGAATGCATGATTTTGGCGTTACCAGCGCCATGCTCTACTGTTTGAGCTTCAGGAAAGCACACAAAAATAAAACCAAATCAAAATTTGTAATTATTAAAAAAAAGTTACAATACTGTTTAAAATATTTGTTAAATACCTTTTTTTAAATAATTTTGTTCTCATGTTTATTTGTTGTTGTATTGAATCCAGTTAGGGTGAATTTGACCCACAACAGAAGTCGTACCCAGAATTTGAATGTAATACAAGTGTTAAAAGGTCAAATGTTTTTGCTTCCATTTAAAGCACAACTTGTCCTTTTTAACATGCAGAACTTAATTATCAGATTTTATTCATGTTGTATTCACTGCTTAAAATCCAGATATTAAAGCGAAGGCAGACAGAGTACAGTACCAAGACATTCTGAAATTCATATTCAATTTCAGTTTAACTATTCACTCTAATTTTCATGCTGAAAGTTTAAGTTGTAAAATAATTCAAAATAGCGTTTTCATATTCTATTTCACTGCACTGTACATGAAATAAAAATGACTGAAGAAGAATCCCTGTTGCTTGCCTTGTCAGTTGACATAAGTCTTCTGAAGAGAAGTGCTGCTACTCTAAAGGGTTCACACAAAGTTTACTTGATGAAATCCAGGTAGGGGTCACACACAAACTGGAGAATGTCTGTCTCACTGTCTGATTCTAACTAACAGGAGATTTCTCACTAATGATTAAGCTAAACCACTTGGATTGCTGCTGTTAATGAAGAGTAACTGTGTTTGGGAGCTTTGAATGATTTATGATGGCTGAAGATGTCTGTCAGCAAGATGTTTAAAGAACGCGTAGATGGACGGGGATTATTTGACTTGCACGAGTTTGATTAGTGTCTCTACACATTTAAATCTTGGGTATAAATTGATTAGCGTTCAAAGTGTAAAATCTTCTGTCAGTGTCAGTTCAGATGTAAATACAAGTCTAAATCCAGGGGCTAATCCCATCAGTTTAGGCCTAAACCATTTTTTGTCATTTTCCTGTCATAGTGAATCACACTTTACATTGTGCCTTTGTTTTGTCTCTTTCAGTGGTTATGAATTTGATTATGATTACTACAGAGATGATTTCTACAATAGGTATGTATGCATTTATTTACAGTTGTTTAAACCCTTAATCTGATTGCACACAATTTTAAATATTTGAGGATACTGGTCGAGTATCCTCGTAAGCGCAGTCTTAAATGAGCTAAAAAAAGTCTTAAATGACCATAAAGAGTTGTAAGTCCATGGGATATGTGTCAGATGTGCTTCAGCTCTTAAAGTGACAGCAGCCTAATAAACCTGCTGCTGTCTGTCATTAATGTAAATCACAGAACAAAAGACAAAAATAAAATCACTCACTGCTCTTGACTTAACAACTTTTGTAGATTTAATAAGGAATAATGTATATTTAAAATGTATGCAGTGAAGACTGGGAAGTGTTTGATAGCTTTATTCAATTTCTGTATATTTCCTACCGGTTAATCACATATTTAAAATTTATAATACTGTCTTTATGCTGTTTCTACATTAATTTAGAGATTAACTGTGAAATTATATTACAATATAAAAATATATCAAAAATGTTAATGTTAGGTGCAATTACGTGGTTACGAATTTGATTATGATTAATAGAGATGATTTCTACAATAGGTATGTATGCATTTATTTGCAGTTGTTGAAACCCTTAATCTAATTGCACACATTTTGAAACCCTCAAGTCCTTCAAACCTATAAAAGGATGCACACAAAGAAATTAAAGTAATTAAATGACATTCACAGAAAATCAATAATCGTATTTATCTTAAACGCCTACAGTTTGTCCTTGAAAAGAAATCCATTAGTGTTGAGTAAATGGAGCTCATCTTTAATTTCTGAAAAGACCTGTTTTATTTTTTCGCTCGTTTCCTTCTTATGATCTCATCTTTTATTAGCAGAGACATTTACTAAATGTCAGCTGGGTGGAGAGCTGTGAATATCCAGGAGAGATTGATGGTAGAGCAAGGGCATGTGCCTTAGTTTGACATTTTCTTCTTTTGACATCCTTTCTTTTCTGTAAATTCTTTTGAAAAATTCGTCTGCCTTCATGAGGAATTTTAAAAGTAGCTCCGCTAATTGCAGGGAAACCGGGAACCAAGATTCAGAAATGTTTTCAGGGCTGAAAAACCTTTTAGATGGCATATAATTCCGAATCAAAAGGGTGATTTTGAGTGATGATAATGATGTTATGGCGTCTTTTGTAAACTCTGCACTTCTTCTTTGGTTCTTTTAACCGGTTAGGCTCTTTGACTATCACGGACGGGTGGCTCCTCCTCCGAGGGCAGTGATCCCGCTGAAGCGCTCGCGAGTGGTACTTCCATCCACTCGACGCGGGAAGAGTTCCTTCCCTGTTAAAACCTCCTCCGCTTCTTCCTCAAGACCTCCATCTTCATCATCGTCCTTCTCCTCTGGGCTGAAATGTAAGCCATTTAAAAAATCTCACACAATTGTCCAGAAAATTTATTAATTTATCAAAATGTAGTATGTTGTCTTTTTTTTTTTTTTTTTTTTTTTTTTTACAAAATAATGCAACTTGGGCTGTCCATAGAATTAAATAGTTAACTGCAATTTATTTATCATTTCATAATTTAATTTAGTAAACACTAGGGGTGTGACGAGATCTCGAAAAATTTGTCATCAGTGCCACATGACTTGGTATTTTGTTGTCTAATACAATGACATTCATGCATTTTCATACTTTTACTGCAAAAATACATTAGTAATACAATGCATGTTGCAGAAATCGCTCCCACAGATCCACAATGTGCTTTACACCATTAAATCCCTGACCTCTGGCATTGGCAGACTGTGGCACACTGTATGAATTGCATTAGCTTTACTCTTCATTGCTGGTTTATAGTCTGGAACATGTTGGTCAGTAGCTCTCCCTTACAGTTTACACAAAGTGAAACAGAGACTTTTTCTTATTTCATGGGAGCAGAAATCAAGAACGTATTGATTTTTGTAACCAAAGAGCATTCTGAGACTGGGACTTACGGCCATCTGAAATGCTGCTTTCATTCTGACAGGGATATGAGCCAAACGGCAAGACAGAAGGTCATGCATTCATTCGTGTTTGTAAATTAGAATTCATAACACTAATTCAGATTTTTATCTCTAACCCACAAGTAGCAGCTTTCACAGCATCTGTCAGCATCCCGCCTTCTCCTCGGAGCGGGGAGCTCAGACGTCGAGATTAGCTGTGGTGCGTGACACTAATGCTCTTAGCTCTAGTGCTGTGGTCTCCGGGGGCTTTTCTTATATCAGTGCAATTCACGGCCAGAAATATCCATAGCATGCACACAAAAGTGCCACTGTTTACCTTAATCTGCATTTCACTGGAGTTCTCCCTTCTCTTCACAGCACAAACTGGAGATTAGCTTTATACGACACCAAAATAGCATTTAATTTGGCTCGAAAAGTGTACTTTGGCTGTTTTGCTCAAAGCAACTGCTGATGAAAATGCAGTCTTTAAGATCAGAATTGTATGACTTTTTTATTTTTTATTCTGTCACCAGAAAACACAATTCTATATAGTAGAGGATATCTGAAATTTGCTGCAAACACAACTACTGCAATTTTTCATAACCCATAAACTAGAGTGACATGAATAGCAAAACCTGCTTCATCTGCCTGTGAAATAATTTTGGGAAATGTAACTTTATCTGTAACTATTTAAATTTAACTGTGACTTGCTGTACTTTAAATATTTTAAATAGGATTTGCTAATTCTATTATGCATGAAGCTTTTGTGGCCTCCTGTTAATACCTCTAGCCTTTTTACTTTTTAATTTGACACTCTAAAAGGACCATTTAAAATGAACTCATGGCAAAAAGGTGATTTTAAAAAATAATGAAAAACTTGGTGACCAGTTACACAATCTAAGATATAGGGAAGACAGGGGCATGAAAATAGTTGAAGTTTCTTGTGCTCATCAAAGCTGAGTTTATTTGATTAAAAATACAGTAAAGACTGTAACAAAATTTCACAATATTACTATTTAAAATAAAAGTTTTCTATTTGAATACATTATAAAATGTAATCTATTCCTGTGATGCAAAGTTGAATTTTCAGCAGCCATTAATCCAGACTTCAGGGTCACATGATCCTTCAGAAATCATCTTTTTTTCTTTTACCAGTAGCTATGGCAAAAAAATTGATTGGAATCTCATTTCAGAAAAGTTACTATAATTAGGAAAGCTTAGAACTTGTGACAACTAGCCCCGGTCTCCTTTTCCCTTACATTTATATACATTTTAATCTAGAAACTTGATGCATGTAATGTAGCCTACTGCACGCCACACATCCTCTAAATTATTCCAAAGTTAACAGCTTAAAACAAGCGATAAAGAGTAAGTTAACTGTCATCTGTCAAAAACAAAATGATGCTCCTCTAGTTTGTGTTTCATAGGTTGCCCAGATTAAAACTCCTTCGGTATTCACATGAAAGGCGTTTTTGGACATGTTGTAAGTGGAGTTTTGAAACCATTTAAATGGTTGCACACAGACACGTTCATTGAATTTCAGTAGATACGACGCTTCGTCAACTAAACACGTACACACGCAGAGCTTTCTGCCTCAGGCGGGTGATGGCAGGTGACACCATTTTGTGAGGTAGTGGAAAAGCTGGCAGCGGTGTGACAGCAGTGCTGGGTCACGCTGTGTTATCAGGGCTGAAGGCGGTGATGGCAAAGCGACAAGCTTCAGCTTTCTCAAGGGATGATCCATTTAGCCCATGCTGCATTTTCTGGTGTCATTCAGTATATTAAAACAGTAACTTATGTTTTAGAAACAAGATTTCCAGACTCTTTTCATGAATGAAGCAACGTATTTAAACGGATCGTTTGCATGGATTCATACTTTTTTTCTTCTTCTTTTTTTCCGAATCATTCAGAGACTTACTCATAAAGACAATTCGTTTTTTCGTTCATTAATGAATCAGTAATTTTAAATCATATATTTTCTGATCTTTCGTTCATGAATGAATTTAGCGTTTTCAAACGAATCACTTGAAAGACTCAAGAACGTTTTAAATGAATGAGGCTCACGCAAATAAAGTCACTTGTTTGGTTCCTGAATGAATTTAGCATTTTCGAACGAATCACTTGATTGAATGATTCAAATGTAAGACATTCACTTTGTTTAGTTACTGAATGAATTGTTGTTTTTGAACTAATCTGTTGGAATCATTATGGAAATATTCCGGCTGCAGTTGTGTTCTTGAATGTGCGTGTCGTCAGTAGATCACGTGCAGAACTTTTCACTCCCATCGGTGCTTTCATGGCATTGCACTCTCATTCTAATTTGCCCTGTTTAGTAAATCTGGCCCTCAGCATGTAAAACAGATCTACAGAAGGTGAGGTTTTGGGCTGATTTCTAACCACATGAAAGCAGAACATTCCACCTAAATGTCTGTAGTTACGCTTAATAGCTTTGAAAGATGTCAAGAACCATTTCCATATTTTAAACTGATCCTGCATTGGATACCATTTGCTGCCCTTTTTCTAGCCTATTTGGGCTTTCAGTTACCGCCAAGTTCATTCTGGTTTGCTCAGGGCGGCCTGCTGATTCAATGGTGTAGTCATCTGAGGGAGATTAATCTGACAGCTGCCAGATGAAAAAAAGCAGTGGAATGTTTAAAGCACAGAGTATTTTTACAGAAATTAGCAGCACGAATTAAGCTAGCAGGCATTGAGCAGAGACTTTTCATCCCATATTAATTGTATAGAGAGTCTTTCAGGGTGACCAGGGGTGAATGTCTTACTCATGATGAGCACAATGTCATAATGCAAGATTGTAAACTGTCTAGTTCATCTTTAGGACTGAACTACAACTTCACCTGGCTACAAATCTGGTCTGCTAACACTTAAAGACAAACATCTCCAAACATCCTTTTAGAATACTGTACTTTAGCAATATGTATACTGTATATTTATGTATAGTTTCCCTATGCATGGAATGCCCTGATGTTCTGTGTAATTATAGCTATTTAACCTCGTTCTAAAAAAAATGTGTTGAGACTGAGAATATTCCATACATGGAATGGAGTAAATATCACTTTAAGCAAATTAACGTAACGTAAAACAATTTTTTTACGTAAAAGCTGGTGCAGCCATTTTTTTAATTGGCTTTTTTCCTTATCACATATTTTAGTCATCATAAATCAAGTGTCATTCGAAAGCTCAAACGCTCAAAATTCATCCTACTAAAACTCTTTTGAAATTGAACATTGCATTACCAGGGAAATGGTGCTTTAAAACCATCCATTTTTGTGATGCCAACTTCAAATTTGGAACACAACTTGGATAGACATATGCCTTTGATTTTCTAGACATTTTAGAGTCCAAATTATTTTGTAAAATATATATATTTTGAATAAAATAACCTTGAATTTAGTAGGCCTATATGTTGGTTACAACCATTTTAAGTTCAGATCTCAAAAGGGGATGACAGTTAACAGGTTTAAAGAAACTCATATGCAATAAACAGTATGCAATGAACAGCATGATAATATTGAAAACATGACCTGAAAACATGAACTGAAGAAACTAGGGCTGTGCAAAGATTAATTGCATTCAAAATAAAAGTTTGTGTTTACATAATATATTTGTGTGTGCTGTGTATAATTATTTTGTATATATAAATACACACACATGCATGTATATATTTAAGAAAATCTGTTATTCATATATAAAATATTTATATTTATATATAATATAGATTATGTGTGTATATATATATATATATATATATATATACTACCGTTCAAAAGTTTGGGGTCAGTGAGAATTTTATTTTTATTTTTTGGAGGAAAGAAATCAATACTTTTATTTATCAAGGAATAATTAATTTGATCGAAAGTGACAGTAAAGACATTTATAATGTTACAAAAGTCTTTTGAACTTCCTATTCATCAAAGAATCCTAAAAAACAAAAAAACTGTACAACTGACAGACCAACAACTGTTTCAACATTGATAATAATAATAAATGTTTCTTGAGCATCAAATCCTCATATTATACTGATTTGTGAAGGATCATTTGACACTGAAGACACTGACACTGGTGATGCTGAAAATTCAGCTTTGATCACAGGAATAAATACACTTTACTATATATTCACACAGAAAACAGCTGATTTACACTGGAATAATATTTAATACTATAACTGATTTTTGTTGTATTTTTAATCAAATAAGCGCAGCCATGGTTAGCAGAAGAGAATTCTTTTAAAAGTATTTCAAATCGTACCGACCCCAAACTTTTGAACGGTAGTGTATATACAGTATTTACGTGCAAATAATTCTTAAATATATACATGCGTGCATATGTATTTATAATATATATACAAAATAATTATACACAGCACACACACATATTATGTAAACACAAACTTTTATTTTGGATGCGATTAATCGCAATTAATCTTTGCACAGCCCTTATATATATTGAATACAATAAAAACCTTAAAATGGTTGTAACCAACATATACTAAATTCAAGTTCAGATCTCAAAAGGGGATGACAGTTAACAGGTTTAAAGAAGCTCATATGCAATAAACAGTATGCAATGAACAGCATGATAATATTGCATTGCAAATGAACTCCTACTGAGTCAGCTAACAGAAGAAACAAGCATCACTCTTGATTATTTGTATTTGCTTCAGGCTGCAAACAGTTCTTATTAGGTTTTATTGACTGATAAAAGCAGTATCTATGAAAACATGAACTGAAGAAACATGATCTTTCTTGTATTGGCCGATATTATCCAGCGTGTCTGAATGAGATAAGAGCTACAGAGCTAAATTATAAACAGCAAGACAGGCAATTCTTTAAACTCTTAGTTTAGAGCCAGCAGGCCTGAACAAGTTTTCTGACACTATCTGTAGTGATAAAAGCATGAACATGGATGCACTGTTATCTCCTCAAATCATGTGTTTATTGCATTTTCTTCTCCAGCAGTGAAAACTGATCAACTCCAGACTATCAAACGTGAACTGACTCAGATCAAGACGAAGATCGACTCTCTTCTGGGCCGCCTGGAGAAGATCGAGAAACAGCAGAGATCTGAGTGCGGTGAGTCAGACAGAGCTATAGGAGAGCAGAAATAAAATCCAGTCCTGCAGGACAGGGTTGCAAACATCGGCTGTACAGGGAGAAATATTGGGAGTGCATATACGCTATCTATCTCTGTGACAGGCGAGGAGACAGCAGCCAATTTGTCATAACTGTTATAAAGCCAATCTTGCACTGTTTTACTATAGCAAATCCCATTTCACCATGTTCACCAGTAGATGAGAGCGCTGTGTTCATCCGCTGAGGAACGGCTGTCTCGGATTCAAGAGTCAAACTTTAGGTCTATTCCATGGGCTTGATTTAAGATTAAAGACCTAGCTCACCCCAAAATTACTATTCTTTCTCAAAAAAACTCACACTAATGTCATTCCAAACCCATATGACTGACTTTCTTCTGTTTCTTCTACCATTGTAAACCCTAAGGCCTCTAAATGATCAACAAAACACTGTTGTACACAATTTCCTACATGCCTTCTGTCATCTGATTGATGGTTTTATATTAAAAAAAAAAGGTATTTTAGGATAATTCGTCCCTCTTCAGATGTTGTTTTACTGTGAAATCTTTAATGGTTTTTCTAAAAATAACTTAAATTGTTAGTGATATTTCAAGATGATCACTTTTTGGACTGAAGCAACTTAAGTTTACTTGATTTGTCTAAAAATGAGGTATGGATAATCAAGTTAAAATGTATCAGATATTACGTTTGATGAAAGTTCATTACAATTGCAGCGCTTTGATCATAAAACTAAGCATTTAAATATCTTAAGACATATCAGTTGTCACTCTATAATCTCTCCCAATAATATGTAAATGCCTTTTATGCAAGTTGTCTGCTAAACTGCTATAAAGATCTAATTTACATTACAAGCTATCAGAATTTCATCTTATCTTTTGGCCATATAAATGTCAACAATTGCACCAAATTGCATATTTTTGCTCAGTTTGTGTCTCTGAATAACTGGGGAGAAACTGTGGTGTTTTTTCTTCTCCCTCGAGTGTGAGTGCTATATTCTCTTATCATACTACATAAGCCATAAAAGCCTGATGTAGCAAAAATATGAAAATCTGAAGGTTCAGTAAACTGTTCTATTTAAAAAATATATGTATTTTAAAAGCTTTACAGGATTAATGCATCATATTTGCATATAAGTCAAACTAAGAAAGGTTTAGAGTGACAAATTCTGCTCACAATATGTTTGATATTTGTGATATAAATCATAATCGTCACAAATATCCGTGTCTTTTCTTCAGAGCCTCATAGGAAATATGAGGAGAACTGTGACTCCTTGCATGAGGAGTCGATATCGGAGACGGCGGATAACTCCGGAGAGGAGGGAGGAGAGGGAGCGCTGGATGCGGAGGCGGGAGAAATGACAGATGGTGGCGAGGATGACTACGACGAAGAAGGCAGCACTGATCTGGTACGTTCGCCCCCGGCGGGCCTCGCTGGCAGCCGTGTGTCTGAAAAGCCCTGTTGAAGCTAATTCTGCAGATTTATTCATCGCTGCGGACATGGGAGACGCAGGGTTGGGAGAGCGGGAGCTGACAGGGTTCCGCTGGGCTGCTTCGAGTTCTCTTAACCCTCACCTGTCACGCTCCGTAATTAAAACAGAGTCAGGACCTCTGGAGACACTACGGTCCAGCAGCACCGCCACCAACTGCAATGTCAATTTAAGATTTAGGATGTGCTTCCCACTGAGGAGACAGGCAGACTGCATTTTAATGAGCTCTTCCATTTTCTTAAACTGGAAATGAGAGGGAAACCTCAAGGCGAACTCCCGCTGGAAAGATTCCCAATGGCATGTTACGCAGATTTCAGGTCAGACTGTATGTGACCTCCAACGCAGCTGGATTTAGTAGATACCCAAACAATACAGAAATAAATTAGCTAGACTTTTAAAAGAAGATCTAGAGACGTGATTTCAGGCCGTGGATATTTTTCTGCAAAAGGGAACTTGAGGTCATGGGATTGTTTGAATATGATGATTAATGCAAGTAAATCTCGAGGTGTCTGGAGAGCTGCTCTTTCTCAGTAGATGAATAGCTGGAGTACATCTGCTCTTCTGATACCACGCAGCTTTTATTGATGTTCATTTGTCCGTCTGAAAAAGTGTGGGCTGTTAGATGATGTGAATGAGTTAGATATATTATCTAACAAAGAATTAGTTTGATAAAGTCATGGACCGTCTGAGACATTTTGCACACAAAATGCTTAAAGGGGGGGTGAAACACTCAGTTTCACTCAATCTCATGTTAATCTTGAGTACCTATAGAGTAGTATTGCATCCTTCATATCTCCAAAAAGTCTTTAGTTTTATTATATTTATAAAAGAAAGATAGGCTGTACCGAGTCTTTCCGGAAAAACCCGAGCGGGTGGAGGCTTGCCGTGTGGGCGGAGCTAAATAATCACGACACGAGCGCGCGAAGCTTTTGCGTTTAGAGCGTCTGGAAGCTGTGAGTGACATCCGAAAATAAACCATGGCTAATAATCAGATAGTAATCCCATGCAGAACAAGGATCTAAACAATACTAAGGGCTCGTTCATACAGAACGCGTTTTTGCTCACAAAAACGTGAGATGGGCAGTGAAATGCATGGGTGAGAAAACCATAAGGTCTCGAGCGTTTTTTAAAAAAATAGAAATGATTTGAACTTGAGCGCAGTGTTTTTAGAACACCATGTCATGCGCGAGTTTTATAACATTTGTGTGTTGTAAACAGACAGACTCGTGGTTTATGAGGACATGATTTATTTTTACAATAAACAAACTGACACCTACAGTGGCCAGCTAAACAAATGTATTTAAACACACACACACACACACCATACATCGCATGCTCCATAGATACATTAACTGTATGTGATCATGTTGTTTACTTGCTATGCTTACACGCCGATAGTTAACAACTCACAGACATTTGAAGCAGTTTTACTCACCGCCTGCGGTTCCAACGCACGACCGTTAACCCTTTATCGTTGGGACTGCTCCATCTTTAAGTATTAGGCGATCTGCAAATCCGGCGTTGAACTGGGCCTTGTTTATAAAACTATTACCGTCGAAATAAAGGGAACAAACAAAAACACTTGCACAACTCCGTTGCTGCTCTGGAAAAACAAAATCCATCCACAGGTCCCTTAAACGCTGGGTTCTTTGGAAATTTGTGCAGTGTTGTCTTGCCCTGGCAACCAAAAACACACTTTTTTGGTGCCATTTTTTTAATTGCAGCGCAGCCGACCGAGCCCAGCGCTCTGATGGGCATAGGCGTACTCTCGCTACAGATGCGCGCGCGCCCTTCCGGGAGAAGTGCCCTTAAGACCCGTATAAGGAAATTCCGGCCACTCTGACGTCACACACGCCCGTATTCGAAAAAAACTTTCCGAAACTTGTGACAACCCGGAAGGAGTATTTTTGGAACAGAATTACTCCATCAAACTTACAACTTCATTTTTGAAACTTTGTCCATGTTTAGCATGGGAATCCAACTCTTTAACAGTGTAAAAAACTCACTATGCATGAAACAGCATTTCACCCCCCCCTTTAAATTGGTTGGACACCATTATTTGAATATATTTTTCAAATGTAATTTATCCCTGTGTGGGCAAAGCCGAATTTTAATCCAGTCTTCAATCACTTGATCCTTCAGAAATCATTCTAATATGCTTATTTGCTGCTCAAGAAACATGTATTACTACTATTATTATCAATGCTGAAAACTGTTGTGATGCTAACATTTTTCTTTCTTTCTCAGGATTCTTTGAATTGAATGTTACAAAAGATTTTCATTTCAAATAAATGCTGTGTATATATGTCTATAAGTATGTATTTATATTATAGAAGTCATGGTGCACAGATTTATTGGGACTATAAAAGTGAATTTTTTTCATTTGAGTTCAGATTTTGCTGAGCTAATCTGTATTCCTGAACTGATTTCTTTTTTTATTCGTGTTTCAGATGGAGAATCATGTGTCTGATATTGACAATTGAAGGTAAGTTGATTGTGTCCTCTGTATTTTATTTCATAGATGCATGTAAATGCTTTTATACAGTAGATATTCTTAGTTTCATCAATGCATTTATTCATTTTCATGGTGATGTAATGAATCACATTGATGCAGTGCAAATAAAGTTTTTTTTTTTTTTTTTAAGAGTTCTGCATCCAGAGAGGAAATCAACTCTGCATTGAACAGGAGACATGAAACTCTGTGAAGACGGACGTCTCTTCTCTAAGAGGCCACGAAGACTCTCGATTGGCTGATTAGACGCAGGGCACATATTTGGACAAGTTTAGCATCTGCTAGTCACAACTGCTGTTTTTCATTTAATAATGTTGGCACATTCAATCATATTTGACTTTTACAGGATATGTGCAAATCAAATGTTTATTCTTCAGTTCATCATGCAAACACTAAAGTTTAATTTTTTTTTTTTCCTCCCCCCCAGGATAATTTACTTGAGCAAAGATTTTTACAGTCTTTGTGTGGAAAATGAGCCTTAAATGTCTGAAAAATGTAACTTGGCATTTTTGAAACCTTCAGTATTAATAGAGAATACTAAAGTAATTCTAGAATTTAAAATATAAGGTCTGGCAATCAACATGTTGCATTAGAACACCAGCCAAAACTTTTTGTCTCTGCTTGATTTTATTTATTTTACATTTTTATTTTATATATATATATATATATATTATTATTTTTTTGCATCTGCATTCCCAAATTTACTCTCACACACACTCATACTTATTTCCTAGCCAATTTATGCTTTCTGAAAATGTTTTCTGTGTAAAATTTGATTGTGTAATTCTTCTCCGTGGATCAAAATATATTTTTGATTTCCAAACCGAATCCACTAAAAGTCAAGTATTTGGTTTAATGAAAGTTTTAGCTCCGTACTGCCACATTAGTTTCATCAGACTCAAACTTATACTGTACACATCAGTGTGACTGAAATATTGTCAGACCACTGCAACTTGAAAAAATGAATTGTGTCATAATTTGTAATGATACTGTAAAGATGTTATTGTGTGTACATTGTCACTGTATTTTGTTTTTATCATGCATAGCTGTGTGTAATTCAGAGCGACATGTAGTAGTCACATTGTTTCCGTTCTCTATGATGTCATTCGGTATGGAGTGTGTCATAATGAACTCTATTTTTGTATGGCAGATTTACAGAAAAAGCTTCAGAATATTCATATTTGTTCTGCTGACATTTTTCATTCTGCTACTGTACATAATTTATTTGTTTGAATACGAGTGTGGAACTGTATGTGTATAGCTTAAAAAAAAGAAAAAGATTGATGGAAAATGGATCCAATCCACTGGAAAAATGTTTTTTTTTTTTTCTATATTTTGAAATTGGTGTCATGTTTGGGAGAAAAACTATTCTATACCGGTCGGTCTAGGTCACTGATGACATCTCAGAGGCCTAGAAATATAATTGAATTAATTCATATTGTATAGAAATGTAAACTATTTGTAAAGATATTTTTATGATTGGCATGTTAATGTATTTTCAGTTCATTGTCTGGCTATAGGCTTTGTGGTATAGGAACAGACTGCCATTACCATCACTATATAAAAATTGCGAAAAATAATTTACCTTCTATATTTGTTGTGGAGCAGAACTGAATACAATATTTCAGCTATAAGGTCAGCCTAAAATGCACTGGTTTTAAGAATAAAAGAAAAAGAGCACCTTTAAGCCTAGAATATTTTTAAATGCTAAAAAGAGAGAAAGCTGGCACTGTTATTGTGTGTATGTGAGGTTGGTTTGGGAGGAATCGCAGCACCTGTCGTTGTTTTGGATGCACCTGAGTGCAGCTGTAGCAGATTGCAAATCAAATACTCTCAATTTATCAACATCAAAACCAAATGTCTGGGTTAATTAGGGCCACTGGCCACTTCACATGGAATCAGTTCATTGTATTAACTTCTTCCCGATTCCCATTTCGCCAATATTCATGAGACAATTACCACTAAAATGAAAGAAGCTGTTTAGAAATAACTAATTTGATTGATTAATTATATTAATATAAATGGAAAATATAACCATTATGTCGCCATACTGACTTATGCTTATATGACATCCATATTTGCATTTATTTTCAGTCAAGCCTAAAAAAAATGGATAGCAAAATTTTTATATGCAATGGAATGACTTAAGCACATCTCTCATATCATGATCAAAATCACAGTCACATGACATTGGCTGTTTACAAAACGATTTTCAAAATCCAATTATCATGATTTTATACATGGATGCATTATGAATGAGGGAAAACATTTGCATTTGGATGGATTCCAACTGCATAACCATTCCCAAATAAGACAGAAAACAATTATACAGGTTTCAAATTTCATATCAGCTTAAACTGATTGGAATTCACCAAATAGTCACATTTTTTCATTACTCAGTCTTGGGCTAATTTATTTTACAGTCAGCTGTGTTACTATATCCTCCTGCAAAAAAAGGAAAGAAGGAATCCAATATCCAATTTCATATCCAAAATTAAAGTGGTTTTGCAGCATTATAAATACTCATCTCCTAGCTCACTGCACAAATCTTCATTAACATTTATATTATATTAGCTCAGGGCTGGATATGCACTTTTTTCCCATGGCCATATTTGAAAAATATTCAAATGAAGTTGGTTGTTATGACAATAATCTGTGCAAAGTTTTCTAATGACTCACACTGCCATAAAAAAAATTAATGGAAAGAGTTCTGATAGGTCATCTAGAGGTGACTCTGAAACTTACTAAATGTAATCTTAGTTATGAGCAATAATAGCACTTGTTAAATTGTCTTTGAACCCTTGATAGCGGGTCAGGCAGGTTAGTTTATGGTATTAATTCAATACATTGGTTACATTATTAATCTTTTTTAACCTTATCAATACAGTTAATAAATATACAACTGTTCATTGTTAGTTCATGTTTGCTCGGGTCCATTGCATAATATTAACAGATACAATTTTTGATTTTAATATAGTAGGCCTATCAGTAAACGTCAATGTTAACATTAAAGGTGCTTTTGACCCAAGCGTTGGACCGTTTTGCGTAAGAACATTGTTTTGGTTGTGCTTCGGCTCTGCGTGACTGTGCGGAAGAATATGACCTTTCACGATAGATGAACTCTGTTAGAGAGCTACATATGGCAATGTATCTCTTCAATAAAATACCGTACTCACCTGTTTAGTAATACAAACGGCCTCAGTTCTCACCATCTCCGAAAAAGCCAAGCCAATGTTGATTCTGGTTTCATTACGAGCTCTGTCACGTTTTCTTTTCATATGATATGACGAGACACGCACGGGCGAGTGACGCATGGACACAATTTCCCATGAAAACCATCCCAACAGGTCTAAAATATAAACGCATATAATAGGCTTAACATAGTAAATCAGGGTAAGACAAAAACACCCTTTGGAAGAAGGATTGATGATTATAAATAAATGACTCATTATTTAAATTTAGTTCGTTTTGAACTAAAACAGTTATGCTACATGTATCATCAACTAGGATTACTAAATGCTTAAAAGTATTTTATACTGAACTGCTTGATTTTAAGACACTTGAGCATTGAGCACTTTTTATAAACCACACATCTCTTTCATTTTTAGGTCTTGCCAATCAGCTACCTCCATTTATTTAGATGTATTAATGCAACTCTTAAGACATTAGTCTAAGTCTTCAGTCCGAGTAGTTTAATCGTCTCTGGAACAAAAGCTGTTGACCAACTTGTTCGGAAGCTCAGGTGGAAGGAATGGAAAATGGATTTCTTTCTTCTTCCAGCATCCAGTGCAGATCAGGGAGAAAATTGCATATTGATTTCCTTCAACATTGTTGAAGTGGGAAAGGCTTCCATGTCCTCATCAGCCCCTGTGATGTCTGGGCTTCGTATATCTCTCTGTAGACTGATGTTCCTTGAGTTTTGATTGAACAGACCGAACTGCTTCTGATGGGCAATGATTTGAAGAGGTCACGGGCCAGCAGCGGTCGGTTGAAAATTATTATCTGGGATGATTTGCTTTCACGATTTCAGATTTATGAGTTTCAGACAGATATGTGCTTTCTATCCTTTGCTTATTGATGAGTTTTGGGGGGAAATATTATATAAATACATACATTTTTTAATTATCTTCATTTAAAATTATTTTAGAACAAAATTGGTTAAATTACTTTGCCATTTTAAAATGTGATTTTTTTCTAAAAGCTCACTTGTAATTGAAATGAATTAATTACTTCACACATTTATACTTATTTAATAATAAATACACCATTTTAAATCCACTAATTATAATAAATTATACACATTTAAAAATTAATTGTACAGCAATCTTCTTATGTCAATATATTAAAAACTGACTAAGGGCATACGTTTACATGACAACGATGTACTAAAAACTGAAAAGTTTTTCCTTTGTGATTTTTGCATAAAAACGACAACGTTGTCAAAACGATCCCCGTTCACACGGATCCGCGAAAGCGATTAAAAATAAAAATCTGGCCTGATTACATGCCAGGCCAGTAGTTGGCGATGTTACTTTGTAAAGAAACACATAATACACATGTGCATGACATTACAGGTTTCCAAAATTTGTGTTTTTGTACTTTAAATAGAGAAAATAACTATTGTTTTCAAAAAAAAACGTTTTCAAAAGTTTTCAGGCCCCTAAAACGCTGTTATGTAAATGAATGGCCAAAACGCATAAACAGTTTTCCGTTTTTAGTTGAAAACGGTGTCGCGTAAATGGCCTCTAAGGCTATGTTTACACGGAAATGATCTAAAGAGAAAACGCAAAAGTGGCGTTGCGTTATCACTTTTTATTCTGCGTTTAGACGAACGTTATGGTTGGGAAATCCACGTGCATATGATGACGCAAAAGTGTGTGAAATCCAATGTAGAATGCACTCCAGGCGGCTAGATGGCAATGTGAAGCACTGCCACACAACAACACCAATATCTTAGAATATTTTGTACAACTGCTGAAAAGACTTGTATGTTTTTCAGAGCTGCTAGGGCATCTTGAAGGTCCGACGTATGGAAATAATCTGACATGTTGGTTATTTTCCTGTACTGGCGCATGAATGTGACGTAAACGCGTACGCGACGAGAGCCACTGTGAGCAGATTTGGGGTTTTACCGTTTAGACGGGAACGCGACGGTGGAGCGTTTTTAAGATTTCCACTCTGGAGGGTGGTTTCACTTTTTTGCGTTTTTAAGTCCCCAAAACGCCGTTGCCGTGTAAACAAAAGGCACATCAGATAAAATATTTTTACGTTTTCACCCGGAATCGTTCTCGTGTAAACGGGGCCTGAGAAGTCAAAAGAAAGGGATGGATGAAAAAAATTCAATTTTTCTTGATAATTACAACCGAATTTATTATTAAACAAGAGTTTTCTTAACATAAAATTACCATGTAACACCTTGTGGAAACCTGACAGAATTGAGCAATTTAATAGCTAATGCCCATTAATATGCTATAATGTTTTTTGTACTTAATGCAATGCTTGAAATAAGCAAGACTAGTCTTGCAAGTCT